GGGAGTTGGGGGGGGCATACCTTTTTAAATCCCCAAACCCAACTTCGTTGGATAGAGTACCATTCAGCCCTTTTGCTCATGATCCCAGGTGACCCTTGACCTTTTTCTTGGCTGCATCTCAAACCCAGCTGAGCTCCAAGGAATACCTTGGCCCATCCCTTTGGTATCCAGACCTCCAAGCTGACCCCTGGCCCTCTTGTTACTTTCGTTACTCTCTGGAGCCATCAGGGGGATGGAAGCTGGTCCCAGCTGACAGTCTTCACAGCCTTGACATTGTCCCTGGGAGTACCAAGAGGGATCATGTTCCAAACCCTTCAGGGATGGGAGGCAAGATGTCTTCTGGAACCAAATGGATATAAATGCAGGACTCCAAAGGAAGCCCCTGGTCTAGCCCCTCAGACTGCCACCCCTCCCTCCAGCCTCTGGCAACTTCTGACTGGGATCCAAGGTTTTGGCTGCCCAAGGGCACTGATATCCCAGTCCTTGTGCTGCAGAGACTACTACTGAGTCTTCAGATCCAGGGGAGACACACTGCATCAATCCAATTACCCCACACACTGAATTTCAGGATAGGTCACCAAGGTCTATCTGTCCCTGGCTCCTGAGAATCCTGAGTCACCAGGAAACCCTCTGCCCTGGACCCCTTGGAGCTCAGCTGGGGGTGGGAGGGATGTCACACTATCATCAACCCTCAGTCCCCTTTCCTACTTAAATGGATACAGCCCTGGCCTGGAGTGCCTATGGGATATTCACACATGGTCCCTCACGTAAATGGAAAAAGTGAAGCCTAGAAGGGGTACGGGCCTGACTACTTAACGAGACCCTGCTGACTCTACCTTCATCCTAGGCTGAGCACACCCACCAACCACCTGAGTGAGCCATCCTGGGTTGCCACCATCAAGTTGGCCGGCTCCCTGGTAGCCGGACTGGAGCACTTCGACTTGCAGGCCACCCATTCCAACTGAGTGTAGTCTGTTCAATGGCTTCTACCTTCCCCTCGACAATAAAATAACCAACCATCCAGATGCCTAGCTGCCTGTCAAGTCATCTGCTAAGGGCTGAAGGAGTGGGGTGGGGAGGGGAGAAGTCTCCATGCAGGCACCACATCCTAGAAACAGGAGGTTGGACACAGAGCAACAGCAATCGAAGTTCCATTCATCCAGCATCCAGGGTGAGGTGGTCTCATTCCTCTTAATACTATCAGCCCCATTTTTGAGCTGACCTCATGCCAAGCTCAAGTGTTCAGCACAAATCACTCTGGAAAGCAGGGGTGATCGCTCCGATTTTACAGCTGGAGAAACTAATTCTGGAAGACTTGAAAATCCCACAAATGGCTCAGCTAGACTTGGACTCAGCCCTAAACATCTCAAGGATTTCAAGGCAGGAAACATAGGCTGGAGGTGTGGGAGGTCGTAAGTCATAGCACTGGCTCAGAAAGGGTGGGAACCAAGGCAAGTCCATGCCAGGGCCCATGCCTTTTGTTCCAAGAGGTCTCAAAGTGGTAGCCTACACAAGGGTTCCATTTCGCATGTCATTGAAAAACTGGTTTAATTCATTGCAAATACTTTTTAAAATTGGGGCATTTCATCCCTTCACTAAAAAACTCTGGTGCCTTAGCCTCGCCCTCCTGTGTCCATAGCTGGGTGCAACAGTCCCTCTACCCAAGGCCTGTGCTCCCCCAAGCCATAATGCCACTAGAACCCTGCAGGGGGCACTTGTTTGATACCTTGAGCAAAGGCCACTGGACAAAGGCTGACCCCAGAGAGCCCTCAAACTTGCAAATTCTCCAGAGACAAAGATTTGTCTCCCCACCATTTCACCCAAGGAGACAAGGGCCTAGAAGACAAAATGTCCATTCAGTTTTATTGGAGGAAACCCTGCACTACAACTGCTCTCAATAATGCAAGCCCTGCCCCACCCCAGTGCCTGCTGGGCTCAGACGATCATTTCCAGCTGCCGGGCATACTCGATGACCTGTTTGGCCAGCTCCGTGGAGGGGATGGTGGTATCTTCTGGCTTCTGCTGCTGGCTGGCAAAGCTGTAGTAGTTGTTGAGGCCCAGGACCCACCCTCGCTGCAGAAAGGGAAGGATGACAGATGGGTGGGGTGATCACATAGGCTCCCCTCCCCACCCCCGAGTCAGCACTTACCCATTAGGCCCTGGCTTGCTTTACTCACCAACCCTAATCTACCTGCAAAACTCTAGGCAAGTAACTTCATCTCTCTGTGCCTCAGTTTCTCCCATGTTTGAGACAAGGACCCTAATCACACTCCTCCCTAGGTCTGCTATGAGAATTCAATCAACACTTGTAAAGTGCTGAGAACAGTGTTTAGCCCAGAGTAAAATGATCACTAAATATCAGCTTTCACCATCACTCAAGTGCATTTTCACCTCTTCTAGCCAGGGTCACTGCACCAGCATCTCCAGGAGCACTGCTCCTGCACAAATACCCCAGACCAAATGAAGCAAAGTTGTGTGGGGAAAAGCTGCAACCTCCAAGGAATTCTGATAAGGACAACAGCCAACATGTGCTGTGTATCCACCTCCACCTTGTATCAGATGCTGTGCTAAGCTCATCCCACATGTTAAATTCTAGCCTCATTCTACAGATAGAGAAACTGAAGCTCAGAGAAGTTCAGCGACTTGCCTGAGGTTACACATCTGGATTTTCAAACCTGGCCAGTCTTGCTCCAGTGTCCCTCCAGGCCACCCTCACTGCTATTAGTGAACCCCTTGGCCCCATGACCCCCTGCACCCCAGCCACCTTCTTGGCGTAGTCCGTCATCTTTTTGGGTGTGTTGAAGAAGAGGATCCGGGTGGCCTCAGTAAAGAGGATTTTCTCATAGGCCTTCTCGATGCATCCAGCAATCTCATCTCTGGGGGAAGAGGCGGTTCTTGCTATTTTACACAAACAGCACTCCAGGCCCTGTTCTCCCTGGTCTGACATGGGTGAGCTCTGACCCTTCAGAGTTCAGCACCGACTACTGGGAATATGTTTGTTACCTGTCTTATTTAACCAATGGAGGCTCAGGGAAAGAGGGAGGAGCTTGACCAGAATTGCAAAGCCAGAGCCACACTCAGGTCTCTCTGGCTTCCAAGCCCAGACTCTGAATCCCACTCCCAGTCATGAGAACTTCAGGCTATTTGAAAGCCAGCCTGGGATTCCCGTGAAGGGGGTCTCTTTACATAACACCCCCACACACAAGGGTGCTGCACTCCATTTCTAGATCCAATACTGAGGGGATTCCTTGCACCCCTGCCAAGAGGTATCATGATCAACGCTGAGTAGAAAAACAGGGAGGAACTGAGTCACTGAAACGGGAGAAGGGGTTAGCTGTGGGGAAAGAAAATGACAAGGAGAGTGCATCTGTTCTGAAGTATTGTATCTCTTAGGCCAAGTACTATGTGGGCACCCATTTTTCACCTCCTGTTGGTTTTAAATATTTCATAATTAAAAATAACCTCAACCTGCGAAACTACCCTCCTCACTCCCACCACCTCTTTGGGCTTGGCTTTGCCACCCAAGCAGTGGAAACCCATCTCAATCTGATTCTTTGCCACCACCTGGACACCCTTTTACTCCTCAAAGGACTTGTAAATATCATGCCCACCTTCCTCTGTGATGCCATTTGTGCACAGAGCAACCCCTGAAAGGCTAGTGGGACTTAAGGGTCCCATTCTAAAGAAGTGGAAACTAAGGGCTCCACAGTTTAGGTGATCTGAGGGGAGGTCATATGACTCACGGAACATTTCTAAGAGAGGCAGCATGGTCCCTGTTTGCTGAGCATTGTCTGGGTATCAAATCCATGCTCTGGGTCTGACATGTATGGGTACACTCGTAAACTGCCCAGAGCAAGATAAGGGTTCTTTTCCACAATCTCATGTCCAGCTCCCGTTCATAGAAAAGGAAAACTGATGTGCCCAGCCTCCCCAGTTCAGGAGTGGTCAGGATGGGATCTAATGAAGGGCTGCCTGACTCCAGATTTTGAGCTCTTTCTGAACCCCACAGGGCCCTGGTCCCCCATGCACCTGATAGTGTCAAGCAGGATGTCGATGAAGAAAGTATAGCTCTCAGCGGGGATGTTGCCTTTGGCCAGGAACACCTTGTTGTAGCTGCCCTCCATTAGATACTGCAGAGACGAAGCGTGGGAAAGATGAGAAGATGAGGCAGAGGCAGCACAGTGGCCTATCCGCCAAGGCTTCAGCATACTTCCAGGGCCTCCATAAGCCCCACTCTGCTAGAACACCCATTTCTCATGCAGAATGGCACCCGCTCTACCAGGAAGGCCTCCCTGGTTTACTTACATAGACACACACATATACATATAAACACCCACACTCCCAGCCTCCCCTAGGCTGGTATGTAATCATCTCATCTATTCTCCAGTCACAGGAAACAGAGCTGGATGCACCGCAAGCCCATTCCTCCCTTGCCCAAGCTGTGCTGTCTGCCTTAACTGCCCTCTCCCCCAGCCTCCCTCCACCAGTCAAATCCTCCCATGAAACCTCGGGTACTAAGGCTCTTCCCTCACCCTACTGACCTTGTTCTAGAAACAGTCTTTTTTGCTACACCCCAGCCACACCAGGCATGTTTTTGTCTTGGGGCCTTTGGTCTGACAGCTCCCTCAACCCAGACCACTGTTCCCCTGGATGTCCACATGGTTGGGTTCTTCATCCCTCAAGTTGTTTACAAATTTCACCTTTTCAGTAAGGCCTTCCATGACCACCCTTACTAAAAATTCACCCCTGCCCCCAACTCTCCACCCTTCTTCCTGCTCTATTTTCCTCCAACTTAATACCTGACAGACCATATGGGCTACTTAATTTTTTTGGTTTTTGTCTGCTTCCTCATCTGAATGTCATGCTCCCAAGATCAGGAATTTTATCTGTTTTGTTCACTGTACAGTCTGAAAACCAACAACAGTGCCTGGCACATGGCTAGTGCTCAGTATTTGTTGGACAAATAAACAAATGAGTCCATGGGCTGAAAGATAGTTGAACCCTACCCACTCCTCCAGAAAACCCTCCCTAATGTCTGTCCCTGCACCGCCCCCTTTAACCAGCCCCCTCCCCTTTCTCCAGACTCACTTGCTCAAGGGACACAGGATGCTTGATGTATACATTGGTCTGAATGTCCTTGGCAGGCAGCCGCTCCAACTCCGTGTGGAACTCAGCCACCCGGTTCTGAGACAGCAGGAAGAGGAGGTTAAGGCCCAAGAGCTGGTGCATGTACGCTGACTCGGGGAGCTGTTCCCTGTGAACCAGGGTGAGGGAACCAAGGTAAGAACTTAGGTACCTACTGTGCCCCTACTCCAGGTTCCAGGAACCCTGATGACTGTCTCATGCTGTCTCCTTGGAGAGGTACTGAGTCCTGGGGTTTCATATGAAACTGATGTCCACAGAGGTACAAAGAAGTCACAAGTCATATGGGCCCAAGTAAGTGACCTCACTTCAGTAAAGTGACTTAGCCTTGGTTTCCCCAGCTGTAAAATGGGTATCGCTACATTATCCATATCACAAGAGGGGAGTTAAATGAATGAAGGTTAAGTGAATCAAATGACTTAACCTAGATAAAGTAATTAGAATACCCGACACAAATAAGTACTGTATAAGTGTTAGCTATGATTATGATATTAAGAATCACCACCCTTATTTTAAGGGGGCAAGTAAGGCTTAGGGAGGTAGGGCCATTTGCCTAAGACCACATAAACAGGAAGTGACAAAAATCAGTTTCAAACTCAGGTTTTACACATATCCAACTGAGTCCATGCCCTGGGCCTGCTGGGACACAGCAGTGACCAAGACCCACCTGCCTTTAGGAGGCTCACAGTCCAACAAGAGAGACAGGCCTGTGGTGAGAGAAGCACAGGCAGAGGGGTCAGGGCTGGGATGGGGGCAGCTAGGAATAGGGCTGGTACAGCATTGAAGGCCACAGGAAAGAACTTGGCCTGGAACCTGAGGACTATGGGGAGTCATGACAGATTCTAAGCATGGGATCAACATGGTCAAATTCTGGTATCACAAAGATCCT